ATAATAATATCTGTCCTGAGTTTTTCACATTAGTGGAATTTCATGCTAATCATTAAAACACTGGTGTCCAAATCAAAGTCCAGAGGGCTGATTTCTTGCATGTTGAAATGCATTTCTAGAGAGAAAAACAGGAACAGTGGATTACAAAGCTAAGCTGAGCCAAAAGGAACAAGTAACTAGTAGCTTCTTTGACATTTATTGGAGAAGAAAGTACAATATTTAAAGAAAAGATAAAAAGTACGTAATCAAGTAAATGTACTTTGTTACTTTCCACCACTGTTGAAAGGTCAAAGCACACCAGAAAAGCCAATTCTAATTGGTTTGAAACTAACATAACTTCAGAGTGGCCTAGTCAAAGTCGACTTTAATGATGAATGCATGAAAAACCCTTAAATATAAAAGCAATGCTGGTTATGTTTCCACTACATGGTGAAAGAGTTCTTACTACAGGAAAAGAGGAAAAATTGTCCTCCTACATCACAACCTGAAAGCAGCTTCGCAAGCCAAATTTATACATTAATACTTCTGAACATATTTGTCTAAGCTTCTAGAGGATAACATGAATTATTCTGTTTTTTTTTTTGTTTTTTTTTTTTGTTTTTTTTAGAAGAAATAAAGACAAAAACATGCCAAGCAGAATTAGCCATTGAAGAAATAACGGGTGGGAGTCATTCTTCATCTAAACTTGAACAGAACATCAGAGGCCCAAAGAACTACTGGTTAAAACCACTTTAAATTCAAGTGATTTGGACCTTTGAGGGAAATATTAAGAAATAACGGTACAAATGAGTGCATATGTCAGCTTTCCAGATGTTTGTTATCAATAGGAGGCGTGTCTTTACCAACATCCAGTGGCTACTTTGAAGTTTCACAGTAAAGTCATGAGCAGCGAGCCCAAACTGAGCATCTCCCTCAACCCTGATTCCAGATTGATCTCCTAAAGCACACAGCAGATAATTACATCCTTCTGTGTTGGAAAGTCACATTAAATGGGCTGATAAAGGAGTTGTGGCTCAGGAAAGAAAAAGACTCACCGAAGCGAAGAAAAGAGGAACAGCAGCTCTGTCTTTGACCAGGGAAAGAAAACGGTATCTGCTAGATTTATGGCCAAGCCCACAAAAGGTTCAATCTCTGCTATTACCATTGTTAATGGTTTTGCTTTTCAAGAGAGAAGAAATACCTGCTTTTATGGAAGAACACAGCTTGAGGAATATGTCTGTGTGAAATAATGGAGCTGTTCACTGACAAACCCCATGCAGGTAGGAGCAGAGGGTCCTGTTCATGTGTGGTCATGCAAGAACAAGAAAATAATCCAGTCTGAAGAAGGAAATACCTTACAGGTCCACCAAATAGTCAAATGGGACACAGTGCAAGAAATAAACAGCATATTCAGTCATCCTGTATGCCTCTTTTTTGGCCAAATGAAGTGGAAAACTGAAAAAAATTCACAATTATTTAAGGGCAAAAAAGAGGATTTGGATATAAGTAGAAAAATGCAAATGGAGGCTCTCCTGTGTACAATGCACGTCCATATTATATCAGTAGGATAATCTGCAAAGAACTGAATGTGTTATTACATGGGATGAAATTTTACTTGAGGTGCTCAAATGTTCAATAAAACAAAAAAACACAGGCAAAAAAAATACTGTGCATCAGAAAAAGAGCAATTTGTTGAAAGTCAAACACAGAGGCGACAGCATTATAATGAGGGATTAGTTCAGCTAAAACTGGGTTTTATGTTGATATAAATCTTTCACTCTTTGTTAGAAAGCTAAAAATGTACTCTATTTTTCAGCATCACAGTGAGGACATCCATATCCTGAAGATGCTGAGTATCACAGAATGACCCCAGGCAGAAAGTAGAAATAAAACTAATAGAAAATCTGTGAGGTTAGCAGACATCTCCTCCTACACTGCAAAACATTTAAATCTCAATAAGTTTTTTCCCTAAAATAAGTGAATTTTTTGTGAATTAAGAAGATAAGTGAGACACTTTGCCAATGGAACAAGATATTTTAAACTATTATATTGTCTATTTCAGGTGCATATTATCTAATTATCTTAGTTTAAGAATTAAAATCCTAATTTCATTAGCAAATCAACTTATTTACCTGCTCAAATTAATGGTAAATACACTTAATTTAATACATTTTTGCTCATTTTTACATGCTTTTTGCAGTGTAATGCCATAGATGTGAAGGAGTTGGTTACCACATGTATTAATGGATGTAATTAGTGACTGATTCTCATCAAAAAAGATGGATTATTGAGATTTTATTAACAAGCGAATCACAAAAAATATTGTTGGAAAGGTGTGAACATTCATGAAACTAGAACATTTTTACATTTTCCCTTCTAATCGATTAGGGTTTTCAAATACTCCTCAGATCCAAGGGTGTAAAACTGTTTTAAAATGATTCTGAAATTTCAAACTGCTGAGATCAACTTTACATAAACAATTTAAAAACACAAATGATTGAAAGCAGACATTTAAGGTTTGGATGTAAAAAGTAGATTCCTAATGATCTGTAGAAAAATGTGTTGATAATGAAGTAAACTGTTAGACTTTTAGATTATAGAAAAATAACTCACACAAAACCAGATACAGAGAACTCAGGTAATAAAAACGTGTCAATTTGACAGTTTTATTACCTCTAAAGCATATAGCTGGGTGCAATAATACTGTGCCATTCTCTGTTAACAGATCAATCATTACACCTAAACTCCACTGATGAAACAGTATCGTTATTTAATCCTGAATCTGTTTGGATCAATCCAAGTTTCATCCTCCTCTCTGCTTCTTTCTGCAGGTGCTTGCTTGCAGCGTCTTTCCTGAATTACTTCAAACAGCTCTTAATGAGATCCCTGAGGATCCCTTCGCTATGCAGGTCACAGACTGCTGCGTGCTCCAGAGAAATACCTCGCCCTACCATGCATGACCTTTGACTTGACCCCTGCCCCCATTCTTCCAATGTGCTCTCGTAAAAATCAAGTGCATCATTTGGGGCTTGATGCCACACATGCTTGAGCTTGTTAACGGGTGACTAATGGAAAACATTTTTCTCTGCTAATTAAACATGCCTATTTGTAGAAGCTTTACATGTTAAACTACCCTGGTGATAAACCACAATAATTCACCAATATAACATTAGGGGGTTACTCCAATTTAATTCAGTCTATAAACACAAGTTTCCACCACATCAATAGAAAAAGATTCATGTTCTTGTGAGGATGTATTCATGCACAGCTAAAAAATAAAAACCATATAAATTCATCATCAGGTAACCAGGACCAAACATCAGCACCAATCTTCCTTCCCCAGAAGCCTGACAATTAGTGATCGTTTAATGAGGCATCTTGAAGCATTTTGACACATTGCCAAACTTTAATTGAACCTGCGTTGATACTGTCTCACAGAATACTGACACCTGCTGGACCTTTAAAGACACAGTAATGCTTTATTTTACAGTATATTAATAACCATGTAATAACATGGTAATAACATAGCAAGTTACACTGTATTACTAGGCAACAAGAAAAACTAATGGAAAATGTTAGTAAATGCTGTGCTTCACATTTTAGACAGATAAGGTAAAGTCAGACATCTCATATTTCAAACAGTTATTACCAGGTAACTCATTTATTTCACCAACAGCAATAAATTAATGTTTTATTATCTGGTAAAATGCTGTTTATTACTTTGCGACAGAAAACCAAACCTAGAAGACGGCAAGCCGATATTCTTAACTAAACTCTTATTTATATGTAACTTGAGTTCAGTTTTATAACACTTTATTTAACTGATCTTAAGTTACAGTTTACTTTGTAATCCGGTGGCAGGTGGTGGTAAATGATAGAAACCGTTGTGTTGTAACCTAATGGCAATTACGCACCAAATGTGTCTATTGTCAATTAGTACCATACATACATGCAGGTAATTACTTTGAAACTATATTACTATATTAATATATTATATTGAAACTATATACCTTAATTTTTTAACTGCCAAATAAAGTTGTTCTTGTTACCAAGTAATGTAGGGTGACTTGCTGCGCTATTATCATGTTATGACACGGTTATTGATGTACTGTAAAAGAAAGCGTTACCAAAGACACTTCAGGTAGATTGATTTGATGACCTAGTACAATGATATGATTTAAGTTATTGTAGGTTATATTTTATTATTTCATATCTATGTTTAAATCGAAAATATCTTTGATTTTTCTAGATGCAGCCAATAAATAATGCATGCATTGATCATAACGTGATAATTTAGGGGAAAATGTGAATGAGGATGCTTGTGGACTATGTTTTTAACTCATAATTTTAGAAGAATAAGTACAGTAAAACAGTTAATAAACTAAGAGTCAATTTTAAATTAACTTAAACTGAGATAATTGGAGTGATAACTGAGAGATACAGGATGAGATAACGAGAAAATTAAAATAAAAACGCAGCGGCTGAAACGTTCCTATTCCTTTTAGGCTGCCCCACAATTCTTGATCATTTTAATGATAAAAAGAGGAAAAAAATTTTTAGCAGATGCATCATGTTGGCAGATATTTTCTCAAACACAGTGTAGTGTCTCAGTCAGTTAGAAACAACTCCTGGATGACTCTTGAAATGATACACGCACCAATACTGTGTTTTGCTCTATGGGCTCCATGCATGCACTGATACATCGGTGTTTCTGCACCCATCACTACTAACAGGGTTTTAAAATCACCCCTCTCCTACATCACGACAAGCTTCTCCAAAGGATGGAGGCGCTAAACACCCAACCCTGCAGGTAAACTACAGTCCAGGGCATTTTGCTGCCCCCATTTCTGCCTGCGGGTGGCACTCATCTCCAGGCTGCTTGTAGCGACTGTCATTTAAATTAGGCCTGCAGAATGAAAAACTGTCTCCCATTCACCATCAGATGAGCCTTTTAAACAGGTGGCAAATACCAACTGAGTGTAAAGGCAGTGAGAAAGTGTCAGATTAAAGCAACTACTTACCTGCAATAATGTATTTGTGAGCTTCAGTAAGCAAAGAGAGGGAAGAGAGAGAAAAGAAACTTGTTAGAGAAGATTAAAGTGCACAAGAAACTTCATAATGGAGGACTAAACAGAAAGATGTGATGAGTTAATGCATGTTTGATGAGATGAACAGATTCAGCTACAAAAAGAGATTCCAGTTTTAGTCTTTTCAGGTCAGTGAATGCATCGTATCAGTGTTTACCGTGGGAAGAGGACCCTGTTAGCTGCTTCCACTCTCACTTGTTTATTATTGTTGAAGAGCTGAGAGTTAACCTTCAGAAAGGAAACTGTTTTCTACAAACGTAGGAAGGCTGATGTTTTCTGTAGTTAAAAGGATTTTGAACAGAAGCTGAAAGTTGTACATTTCTAAATTAAGACAAATTTAGCAGATATTCTGCTGATATATGGAGTAAATGTTGTTCCATTATTGTTCCAAGCAAAGGATATGTTGTGTAAATGGAAAATCGGGGGGAAAAAAACAAAAAAACAAACACACACACAAATTAAAATAAATAAAATGCAATCCAGAAGTGAAACTTGTGGGAGTAACTTTGTTCTTTTCTAAGATTTATAATTTTTTCACATTTATTTTTCATAATTTCTTTTTTTTTTATGACTTTTTTATTTTCTGCTTTGTTGTTGAAATTTTATAAATTGAATTCTATTCAAATTGTTTATTACAGATCACATTCTCTTCACTTCGAGCATAAAACAAACGTTGCAAACGTCCATGCAGACCAATAGAAACGTGTTTTTGCTCCTCCCTCCAGAGGAAAGCCCGGCCCCGAGGGGAAGAGACTGTAATCTCAAAAACGCAATTTAAAAAATAAAACTGAAAGCAAAACTCAATCAAAAAACAGAAACGTAAAAAAAGGTTTGAAATAAAAACATCTGTAAAAAAATAAAATAAAATGAAAAAAAAACGGGGGTGAAATTGCGTTCATAAAAATAAAATGTAAAAACATAAAATCTATAAGAAGGATATTTTGAAATAATATAGCTGGAAAAATAAATTATTAAAAAAAGTGTCATCTGTTTATTTTTAGAATAAGAATCAGCCTTATCTAGGAGATAATGTTTGTTTTAATTTACACTCATACCAGCCACTTGTTCTCTAAAAAAAAGTAGAAAAAAACATGATCATAATGTTGACTGTTGATGTAGGAAGCTAAATTCTCCCCTTTTTTCTTTTCCTTTCAAACAGTAAGGCTACATCAGGAGTCATGCAGTAAATCCTGTTTCTGTGAAGGTTAATATCTGGTTTTATTGCGCTTATTTAAAACAGCTTTTGTTTGGGTCGTTTAGAGGCTGAAGGCTGCTGTGGAGTTAAATTGGATTGTGTTATATGAGCTGTAATTTCACTGATATGAATCCGGTGGATAAGAACTGTGTGTTTGAAGAGGAACACTGTGGATATGAATAACAGGTAAAAGTAATTATTACAATCTCTGAAAAGAACTTGCTTCACCTGTATATTCAGGAAACTGAGGTGGTTCTTAAACAACAAAGGAACCAGAGCTTAACTTTGTGGCACAGGTCGGCCTGATCAGCTGAGATCGGTTTAGTTAATCAAAGTGGAAATCCAGCTACATTTTCTTTACAAACAGAGCTAGAACTTTGTAATTATGCCTATACTACAACCACCCCTGTCCTGTGTTTTTTTAATGGTTTATTTTAAGATAAAGTAGAACGCACTCAATTTGCAACTCTATTAGGGATAGTGCAGCAAAATGTGAAAAAGTTATTAACGATAACTTATGGGCTAAAATCCAGCTGCTGCGGTTTCATTTCTAGCCCCTACTAATGATTTAATTATTAAATGTCTCCATATTATCTTCACATTTTGGAAAATAAAATAAACAACAACATATGACTGAAATAAATAAACTGAAATAAAACCTAAGGAATAAATTAGGAAACTCACTGCAAAAACAATCTAGAAATAATCAAAAATGTTTTAAATTAAATGTATTTATTCTTAATTTGATTTGGTAAATAAGATGATCTGCCAATGACTTGAGCATTTTTACTCTTAAATAAGATGTCTAAAGAGAGTTTAGGGAAAAATAAAATAAAACTAAATATCCCACAGCATAGAAAATACATAAATGGACATTAATTTGAAGAACTGCCAACATGCTCAGTTTTGTGTATAACTTGCTGCTAATAAAACAACTTTCACATCCTTTAAAACAGGGATAAGCTCCGACCTGTGGGAAAATTTAGCTAATTGTTTCATTATATTTTGCCCAGAAAGTAATTCTAAATCTGTTTTTGAATCTAATTTTATAACATCACTTTGGTGCTACAAGGCGTTATCTTGTGTAGTGTAGTTTCATTTTAATAAACTTAATTATTATACATTTTTACTAATATTTTCCAAATGTTTCAGTTTTGTTTAAACAATTTTATTAAGGTTTAATAAACTATCTGAATTGAAGAAACATTTTCCTGAATTATTTACATTTTTTAAATAAATATCAAGTTAGGACGAAAACTTTGATATTTGAATTTTGCATCACGTTTTTTTAAGGGTCACGCCCCTCTGCTAAAACATTACACCTTTGCATGGGCTCAAGTCTTGGAGATAATCAAGATGAGATGTTTCTTACTCTAAATGGCAGATTATTTGTTCTATTGATGCCGGCTAAGCTTAGTCTCATTATTGTTAAATCATAAACACTAACCTTGAGGTGAATGAGGCCTGCAGTGCTTTAGATGTGCTGTGTTGTTCTTTGACCTCCTGGATGAATCATCAGTGCCCTTTTGGAGTCGTTTTGATAGAGCAGCCACTCCCAGGAAGGTTCTTTAACATTTAGCATTTTCTTTATTTGTAGATAATGTTGGATGAAGATGTGCTTTTCTGGAGGCGAAACCTAAATGTTGCTTTATAACACTTTTCAGACTGATAAATGTCACTGACTTTGATCTCATCTATTCTTGACTTCTTTTTTTCAATCACAATATGTTGCTTTTAATACCCATTTGACCTCCTTCACGCCACCAAAATGGTCCTGAAAAAGGTCCTAAGGATCAGGCTGGTAAAAATAGACCTAAAAAATGTGGTAAATAAAAACAAACTTTTGTCCCATAATATACAAAATTATGATTGGAAGATTACTTTTTATATTAACTGAGATTAGGGCTGCAACTTACAATTATTTTGCAAATCGATTAATCTGTCGATTATTTTTTTTGATTAATCGATTACTAATCGAATAGACAAAGGTTCCTTCAAGAGGATTTTATACGAAATTAAACAAGATCAAACTAAAACTTTTGCACTTGAGGAGTTCTGGATTGAGCATATTGACAGATGAAAACGTTGAAAAACATAATTACTATAATATAATATAATTACTGCTCTAAGTGGGTTGCTCTGTCAGTTAAAGACATATTTTACAGTCTCTAAACTCCAGCTACAGATTAAGCGATTACTAAATTAGTTGAAGATTATTTAAATAATCGATTAATCATGATTAATTGTTTCAGTCCTAGCTGAGATTGTGTCTAAATTTGAGAAAGCTCCATAATATTTGATTTAAACCCTTCTTATTGGAGAGGAAATCACTAATTGTTTTCTTTAAATGCTAATTCTGTATTAGTATTAGCTTTTTATCATTTCCCCATTCAGTTGGGGGTTAAATAAAGATTTCTTTTTTCTTAATTGTGATCATCTTTCGAAGAAATCTGTCTTTTTTTTTGTCCTTTCCAACTTTTGGTGAACATTTAGGTTTTCTTTTTGCAAAGTGAGTGCACTGAAAAAAGTTCTAGAAATAACAAAAACATTCTTAAATTAAGCATATTTACCCTTAATTTGAGTAGGCAAATAAGATAGTTTGCCAAAGGAATGAGTATTTTTACTCTAATAATAAGTTCATTAGATAATATGCACTTAAAATAAGATAATGCAAATGTGTTTTCTTATTTTAGGTGTATACTGTCTTGTTTTAACTCCTCAATCCAAGAACAAATGCACCTATTTTAAGAAAAAGTGACTTATCTAGATTTAGATTTTTCCCAGTGTGAAAACATGACTTCATACATCTAAGTATACACTGTAAAGTTCAGGAAGTGTGTTTTTTACATATATATGTTCCCTTAAACATGGAAATGTGCTAAGTTTATGAGATGATGTCTGTAATTATCTATAGAAACAAGTCTCAGACATGTTTTAAGTGTCATGTAAAATCCCCACTCAACAGTCCAGGTCGTCTCCCATTCATCAATTCCCGTGTATTTTCAGCGTGTCAAACGACCACCATCCGAGCCGCTGTTTAACCAGGAGGCGGCTGCATCAAATGTTGTTCAACCACCCAAATAACAGTCAGCAAACCTAAAGAATCTTCCTGTTTGTCCTGCACAATAACTTCTCAACCTGACAAAACAGCTGTTTTGATGGGTTTTGTCCTGGGGCGGGTACTACCTCGGTGTCAGCACTCCCAGTTCTGTTCCGCCCTCTTGCATATCTCTTTTGCCGCTTTCTCTTGATCCTCATTATTCCACACTGGGGTCTTTGGGGGAGCACAGGGTCTATTATCTGAAGATGAAGCTTAAGACAAACTAAACGCTCTGGAGGAGTGGCCCTTTATACGGGCTGAATGACAGAGAGAGAAGGAGGGAGTGTGTGTCTGGTCTGGCGTTCCCATATCACTTAGGTTAATGTGATTAAGGCCGAGCGAGAGGGGGAATTCATTTAGTTTGGATTGTGTTGGTCTTAAGCGATTCATGTCAGAGAAAGACGAGGGGGAAGGTAGAGGGACGTGTCCGGTCACAGGACTTCCTTACAACCATGCATACATAGAAAAACACAACTGGAAGCGATTTTAATGCCTGGTACCAAAATTAGCACACATGAATAAACATGCATAAGAGCGCTTTGAATTTAAATTTTACGATCTAAAAAAAATATATTTACCAAGCATTGCACCTCAGTACATCTTGAATATTTACATTTCTCTCAATCAATACTGAAAAAAAAAACTTGAAATATAAACAAA